ATGTTCATGAGCTGCAAGCTCTAAATAATTAACAGGCATTTTATCAGCAGTTTCATTTTGTTTTTAATGAAGATGTGTATCCCATCAGGGTAACAAAATCAACAATTCACTGAGACAGTGACTACAATTTCCTATATTAACCCTACAGGGAAGAAAGTACTCAGCATAAACAGCTCTGCCATTTCTTTCTCTAGTGGAGTAACTTTTTGGAGGCATTAACAATGCTAGGAAAACTCCTTTACAAAAAGATGTTTATTTACACTGTCAAGAAAGAAGACAGAAGTGAAGTAGCACTGTATTAATAAAAAATGCATTTTTAAAAAGTGCTAACAAGCTACAACTGACAGGTTTTCTAAAAGCTTAGGATATTAATGCATTACAGAAGAGATGCCAGTAGTGCTAGAACTCATGAAGAAATGTGGGGTTGGTTTTCAAAGCCGAGGTGTATTTTCCCAGCCTTGTAACACTTGTTTTAGAAACTAACTCCCCAAAATAGCCATTGGGCCCCATTATTCTGCAGAAGGAAGTGTGGAGTGCAAAGCCAAAATCTCCTGACTCCATCTGAAATGTAATTAATTAGAGGCCTCAAGGTACCACAGACAAGAGCCCATTTATATGGAAATTCCTCCTCTAAAAACAGACATGTAGAAACTTCCCAATTCAGCAAATAAGTCAATGTGGAAACTCATCCCTGCCTGTCTGACCAGCTACAGACTCATCTCACATCACCCTCAAATATCTACTGCTGGGCAGGAGAGTGTTCAGGCTCCTGAACTTCACTTAGCACTTGAATAAATGCGATAAAAAATATTTGCAACGTTTACACAGTGGACAAACATCCCAAAATTACACCTACTGAATGTGGGTTTGGCTAAAAAAGATTGTTTCTCACCCTGTTTATTCTTCTTAAATATGCACCAAAACTGGGCTTTTTAAAAGCATTTATATATTATAGCATTTCCTCCATAATTATATTTGGGGGGGGGAAGTCCCTAAAAGTAAAAAGTGATAAGCATCATTAGTCATAAGCTAACTTTTCAGAAAAAGTAACCAGAAGTTTGTATTTTGAAAACAGACCTTGTTTAGTAACAGGATGCATACATGGGGTAGACCAGTGTGGGGAGTCTCCTCCCTTTCTCTCAAAGAAAACAGAAAACCTCTGGATCACAGGAAATAACACAAATTTTAGAAAATCCCAGTGGTATGAGGGAAAACACTTCAAATAAATCTGTAAGCCCTCAAAACAATGTTAAAGGACAGCAGATGTTCTTCCCCCCACTAGCTTGTTCAGACTCACACACTCCCCAGGAGAAGTCCTTTATTTGCATTGATTAAAGTGGGTATTCAGATCCAGACTCATACAAATGGAGAGACTGACACAAATAGGTGCATAAGGAAGGACAGGCTGTGCCCATCCTCTTCTTGCTGAAAAACACCCACCCGCTTGAACACACAAAGATAATGGAAAAATACAGACCTTTGAATATACTTTTTCTTCAGACTTTAATATCTTTATAATGTAAAACAGAGACAAAAAAAGAAAAAAGAAAAAAAAAGGCACGTCTTAAATTTAGGCCGAAAGCTACTTTGGGAATTCATTTTTTCTTTTGCTGCTTTGTGATATATGGCTGACAAACCAATGCCTTGGCTGAAATGCTGCCAAAATAAAATGTAATCATCACTGTAACTCCTGCCATTATAAGTCAATTCTGAAATTAAATCAGCAATTCAGATTCATCTTATGGTAAACTGTTCTTAAGTAGGAGGCTTTCCCCCAGCCATCTCCACCAGGAAGCATTTCTGTTAAATAAAAATGACAACAACAATATAGGCCCAAATGTGGCCCAGAGGAAAAAAAAAAAGACTTGTGGAATCAAAATCCAAATGCAAAACCCCAGAGATTTATCTCAAATTTAGAAGCATCTAAAATGCCAGGCACTAAATTAAGAATTGATAATTATATTCATAGCCTCATTAGGTAAAAGCAATCAATAAGGCTGGGAACAAGGATTAAAGAAAGCTTAGCCCAAGCCATTAAGCCAAAAAAAAAAATATCAGCTGTGATTAGCACTTCTTTACTTCCCCCACAAGCAATACAGCTTTATCAGGAGTGATGAACATTCCATGATGGTCCTGAGCAAAGACTAAGCCAGGTGACTCAAGACCTCTCCTAAGTTTAGGAGCTATGAATTTGAATCTTCTTAACCAAAGCTGGGTGTAGAACAAGTTTCTTGTGCCTTGGACAACTACTGCAAACCATGTAGGAAAATAAGCATGGAGATCCTATCTCCACCAGTACCTGGAAGGACAAGAGCAGCTCCTGTGACCTGGGCAGTTGTGTACTGAGCTCAAGTGTCAGTGTCAGGACAGGGGACACTCTGAAAGAAGCTTTGCACATAAGTACCAGAATCACAAAATGTAAATTGTCACAGCAGTCGGTCAAAGTGAAACCCACACTTCTTTTGGGAAAGATGTTAAAGGGGGTTCCACTTGCTGAACTGGATTTGAGTCCAACTGTACGAAATAAATTCAGAATTACAGGAGGTGTTTCGTTATACACTGAAATGACCTGCTTCTGCCACTTCTCCTCTGCATTAATATTAGTTCATAACCCCAATCAGAGCAACTAAACAGGTGTTAGTTTGAACTTTAATTGAATTAGTAGACAAAACCTGCAAACTACTTTTTTCTCGTAACTTCAAATAACAGTGTTTTTTTGTTGTGAGGATCTAGCACCTAAGTATTGCACAAACCATAGTCTCAAAGGCTGAACAATTTATTAGATTAACATAGCAGTAAAAAAATTATAGCAGAATACTTGACTAGCACAAACAATACTGTACCTTCTTTCAGTTTAATTTTCATTAAAACCAAAAACTTCTGAAAGGCAAGAAATGCACTGTGTTAAGACAGCCTGTAGGCTCCTCATCCAAGAAACTGCGGGGATTTTCTGCAAACACAAGAACTGTGGTCACTATACAAAGGGTCATGTTGTGAACACAAAACTACGTCTGACAGCAATGCAGAAGGATTTTGGGAGTCTTGGGAATCTTGCGGCTAACCTACATAGGAGGTAAACTGGGACTGACAACTGCCTCTGTCCCCATTCCTGCCTGTTTGGTCCCATGCTTCCCTAGCCTTCCTCTTTCCTCCTCTGTAGGATTTTCCAGTGTGCAACTGAACTCACAGTGCTACAGACTTCAGGAATTCTGTGCTGGTAACCCAGGAGCGCAGTTACTCTCCCTTGCTGGTGAGCAAAAAGCACCTACCCACAGCTTGGAAAAGCCAAGGCCTCCTGCTAGGATTAGCATTTTTAGAACAAAAACATATTAGCACACTAGGGAATATCAATTAGAATAAAGTGAAATATTGGAACTGAAAAGAGCAAACAGCACTGTGTGTCAAGTCTATAATTTATATTTATAAACTACAGTTAAATACCATCTTCTCCTGCTAGATCTCCAACTGATCCAACCAACTCCACCATTCAACATCTCACATCAATGATTTTATGAACTTCAAATGTAGTATGTTGACTGGAACTCATTACTATGTATTTAATAGTGTACTATATAATAAAAAATATGAATATGTATTTCCATAACATCAAGAAGCAATAGCACCTTGCCAGTGCCCTTCATTTACTTTGCAGGAGAAGGTCTGGGAAAAAATGTTTCACTCACGAGAATGAGGAAAATCAAGCAAATATGTTCTCAATTTAAATTTAGGTTGACTGTTGGAATCCTTAAACACGGAAATGTCCTACCAATTCTGTACAATTAAATATATATATATGTACCAATAAAACTACATTGTGTAATCCTTCCACAAAACTGTTAATTAAATATGAATTTTCAGACAGGCATAGAAACTATGCATAATCATTATAATATAGTTTCTTGACAAAGGCATTCAAAATAATTCTGCAGCTGAAAGATTCAACAGAGCAAAACAACAGTACTTAATTAAAAGCGAGAAAAAAAGGGAAAAAAGAAGTAAAATAAAAGAAAACTTGAAAGCAAATTTCATTCTTCAACTAACCCAAGAAATAATGAGAAAGAAACAACCACCTATCTGTATACTGATTGTTCACCCAGGCTCAACATGAACTGGGTGTCAGACATTCAAAAACTTTTTAACAGAATGAGCATTACAAATACCAACATTCAGATCATATCACTGTCTTTTGCTAAAAAAGAGTCAGAAATCCTGGTTGTTCCACTGAAATGTAAGATTATACTAGCCAAAACCACCACAGGATTATTTACAGATATGTATATCAACAATTATACTATGTAAAGCAAAGCTAACAAATATGTAGAGACAAAACTTAATTTAAAAAAATGTTACCAATAAAGTATGAACACTAAGCAGCGTTCATAGGCAGAACACTAAGTCAGCTTTAAGTTTTGTAAAATACATCAGACAACTGAAATGAACTGAGTATTTTGTCAATTCTACAGGCGACAATAATATGCTACTGAAAAAGTTGACCACTGATATGAGATTTCTTGGGGGAGGGTGCAGGGAAGGAGGTTCAGAGATTGACTCGATGCAAAAAATCAACGGTTTTGGACTATATAATTTACAGATTTAGAAAATCACCTAAGCTTGAAATTCAACTCATCACTTGTGTCTAGATTTTTCATCTAAATTCTGGCTAGGAATATTACTTAAATATTCCAATGTAAATGTACACTTTTTTTTATGTTGTATCACTTCAATAAGAAAAAATCCTGACTAAGTACTTGGAATGCAGGGGAAAACTTGGTCCCTCAGAGGTCAATAGCAGAACTCCCCAGCATTAACTTCACTCTCTGGCAGGGTTACGATGTATGTTTAAGGTACTGATACTTGGCTGTGTAGACAGAAAAGCCTAAATGTCAACTCCAAGACCTAATTGTACATGAAAGCTCATTCCCTGAAGGCATAATCTTCCACTTCCACACACCAACACAAAGATCACAGGCAATAAAAAAATAAACCAGAAGGCCACGCAGTTTGAAGACCAAATATTTCTTTACTTCAAAAATATATCTTTATATTCAAATTCCAAGTTGCTGCACTGTAGTAGGAATATGCAATCATAAACTTAATTTATCTTAATCATTTGCATTCCATGGCAAACTGAGCTCAGGAGAAACATCTGGTTTTCAGTGAAGACCTCTGTTACCTTGTCTTCTGTCTGGGTTCATTATAATATAAAACAGTCGAGAAATAAGCCTCAGGGTCACGTAATCCATTCTCCACTAAACTGTGAACTGCCTCACGATCAAACTTTATCCGATAATGAATGAATTTGTTCATCATCCATCACAAGAACTATTCAGAGTATATGTGGAATTTTTTAATCTTCTTTTAAGATGAAGACAGAAAAGTACAGCAGTTACAGAACTGATTTTGCTTCTTAAAATCTTGCAGAACTTAAGGTCAGTTTGATAGCTAACCATGTAAAAAATTCGAAGAAAAACTGAAGGAAATTAGAATATTGAAAATCCTGCTTAAAATATTAAATTTATGTCTTGGCATACCATTGTTCTTCTTGCATGGAGAGGCTGTTTTTCATTCTTGACTTTAAAATAGGGCACATGGAAAACATGTACTTCATCACTTCTTGCTTGATGATGTTACAATTCAGCAGTTAAATACCGTCTCTCATCATCTGCATACCTGAATCCTTTTGGACATGGTCAAACAATGATGTGAAAAACCGTAATTATCACAATCATAATTTAACCTCTAGTAAATTAATTCCTAAACAAGTTTTTCAAACTAACATATTCCACCCATGTATTTAGGTAACAGGACTCTTCTGCACTGGCTGCATCAAAGACCACTTTTTTGCTAAATTTCAGTGGTAAATGCTTCAAGCAGGAGGTACTGGGAGTCTTCTTAATATTTCCACAGCTATCTTTAGATAGGCTTTAGCCTGCAAAAACAGAAACATACATTGAGCACTCCATTTTCTACAGAAAGGAATATTTCATAAGTAATTAGGTATTCTTTTACAGACAAAAAGAAAAAACAAAGATGTTTAAATAAATGGGTTAAATTTAGCCTGTGTTCAGGAAAAACAATGCATTAATACCCAGAATAAGCGCAAGTATTACAGAAAAATATTGGTGGGGGAATTTAAATTTAACTGAACAACTTGTCTTTAAGAACAAGCAGAGTCAATACTCTTCTGGAAGAGATGAGGAAGACACAGACTCTTTAGTCCCACAGGTACTATTAATTATAAACTTCCCTCATCCTGACAACCAGGATGCAGAGGATAGAGAATCAGAGAAAACAACAGCATTCAAAAACAAACTTTTGAAGACATTTAATTCATTACAGACTAGACTATCACTATGGAATTTCCTATTCAGACATTTAAAATATTTTTTAAAAAGACACCTTTCCAAAAGACTGAAGTAGGTATTGGAAAGAACTAATTCCGCAATACTGAAATCCACACAGTTAAAGCTCTTTGACACCAGCCTGTGGCACATGGTCAGACACCTTGAGCTGGAGGGCACAACAGCACAGAACTGCAGGACTATGGAGAGCAACCCAAGTAAGCATATTTATGTTAACATCTCTAAAAACCATGACACAGCCAGGACCATGACCAGTCCACCATCAGTAACAAGTCTAATGTCAAGGGACTTATATAAAAACACTGTATGAAGTCCAACACAGAACAAGCCCCAAAACTAAACCAAATTATTCCTGTACCAAGCTCAACAACTTGCAGTCGAAAGGGAACATATTTTAAAAATATCAAAGATTTATATAAGAATATTTAATTAAAATAGTATTTTTGTGTGTATGTATATACACACTGCACATTGTTCCAGAGGTTGATTACTTCCATTGTTAAAATGTACACCTTTTCTATAATTTGACTGATTACTTCCATCGTTAAAATGTACACCTTTTGTATAATTTGAATTTGTCATACTTCAGATTCCAGCTGGTGCATCACATTCTCTATCAGGTACACAGCAAATTCCCCTAACTGAGCTTGTTCTTCTACAAGATAGTGACCAACCTACTCAGTCTTCTCCATAAGTCTGCATACACAAACCACATTGACAACCTTTTCTGCTTTCCTCGAACAAATCTCCACAATAATCCCTACCACACTGATTTCTCCTGTCTCCTGCAGGATGGCTCTGACCATGAGTTAGTCCTTGTATCCCTGATGAGCCTTTAAAGCAGCAAACAAACTGACACATGCCAGAGGCCAGAGGTTGGTGGGCAGGAAGAGAAGGTCTGTCACACCAGGGCCACCAGCACTCACTGTCACTGCTCTGAACAAGGTGTCAGCCTTTTGCAGGGCCATGCACTGCTCATGTCTGTCTCCTCTTTTTAAGGGATTGCTCCTGGCTTGTGGGAGTTTCTTTTCTGGCACTCTCACCCTCTACACCTCATAGTCACAGTGCTCACATCCCCTTAAAACTAAAGCCATAATTCTTCTGAGTTTGTAAGGAATGCAGAGAGAGCAAGGCAGAACTGTTTTCTCCCACGTACATGACTTTGTGGCAAGAACGACAGAATTAACTTAGAACTTAATTCACACTTGGGAATCTCAATCTTCTATAGCTACAGTCGCAGTACAGTTGGGTTACAGCCTGTGTGCAACACCCACCTCACTCAGCAATTAATGCTCTGGGTGGTCCAGCTACCCCCCAATTAACCACTTGCCCAGACAAGTTAATGGACCCACCTGAAGTGAGGTGACTGACTGAAGTCAAGCTGCCTTTGCAGTTCAGTATTTGACTAATTGGTGTAGGAGCACTTCAGGTGGGAATTTCAAACTATCTGGAACAGTCCCACAGGCAGCTCCCACTTTGCACAGATCAATTAATGCATTTTAATGAGTCAATTAACAACCTGCATACAGTACCTGGCCCCTTCTAAAGACTGCCCAGGCTGTTTGCCTGCTCCAGAGTTGACCAAATTGTACACAGAACTATAAATTCACCATAAGCAGATTCAACCGCTTGTATAAATGTTACCTTATGTAAAGAGCCCAATAAATTTTAGATACTTTTCCCACAAAATGCTTTTAATGAGTGTTTGAGCAACACTTCCCCAGTGTACACTGACCCTCATTTGCCACGCAGCTGATCACCACTTTGCAACAGGAGGTTCCTGATGCAGCTCTTTGTAGCCAGCATTCCAGCATAACTAGACACTGTCTAGTGTCTTGCCTGCTGACCTTTGGGTTTTTTGCTTTCCTGGATCACTACTTTGTCTGTTGAACAGACCAATATCTCATATATGTCCTTACAGAACTCTACCAGTCACCTGGCTTTGGCAAAAATCAACCATTTTGAGCCTTGGTTTTCTGTCCTTGAACAAATCATTTAGCCATGAGTGAGGACCTATCTATCAATTAACATACCTGAAAGGTCTAAATGGAGTCTTGGTGACTGTGAATATGCACTACATAAAAACAACCCTATGTCTATTGAATAGCTTTTCCTACTCGTGATCTTTTCAATGTGCCATCCGTAGACACAGAGCACAGCTCAGTTCAGCTGTTTAATCCATCATCACTAAGCAAAAGAAGTTGGGTTGCAAATGAAAACGGGCAGGGTTTACTATTTCCTTTCAAGGTGGAAAACCAGCAGAGAAAGTGTAAAGGATGAGAAGAATAAAGGATGAGTTCTTATTCATCACCCCTAACCTTTTTCAATTTAATAGGATAAAAGCAAACTTCTCAGGTGAGTCACTCCCTTCATGTTTAAAAGCTCTAAATGAATGGTTTATAGATTTTCTGAAAACCACTTTTTTGCTGACGGACAACTTTATATTTAACAACAACATACCAGTAATCATTCCTCCCACTTCACGAGGATGAAGAAGCGCGCAGGAAGACAGAATGCCCTAAACCCAGACTTGTTTATTATGAACACTGCCTAGATGGGGTCTGAGAGAAGCACTAGGACAGGCAGAGGTAGAGGTGGAAGGTGATGTTCACAGAGACAAAAAAAGCGCAGGGAAACAGCCACGTGAGAGACTGCTCACCTCTCAAACAGTGGCACAGTGCCAGAAGGACACAGTTCTTAAGACCTCATGGGCACAGCTGACAATGAAGTGACTGATGGTGGAGTAGGAAACAGAGAACCTGTAAAGAAGTTCACCAGGAAACTGAGTGAAAAGTCCTACTTAGCATAAATAATCAGAACATCCTGATTGATCACTCTGTAATGGATCTGCATTATCATGACCTAATACATGTTGGATAGATTTAAAGTGGAAACTTCTTACTAGCTCATCTAATTAAGCCCTACAGTAATCCTAGGGAAATGGTAGCCTTTCAGTTACAGCATTTCATTCTCCCTAAAAATCTTACCCGTGAGGGAAGTATGCATCATTGCTAAGATTACTGCAGACTGTTCAGATCATGGTCTGCCGTGTTGTCATGGACTGGACTGGTGTGGCCTGACCTGCTGGTTTGCTTTCACTGGAGTGCAGATCTTAGCCTGCCAACAGCTCACTACAGTGCGATTGCCACACAAACACAGAACTCAACTTATAATCAACAAAGTAAAAGCAGGTAGGAGCTGATATCACATTTTCCTTCACCCAAACCACGGCACACAAACAACTTCAGACCAGCAACTCAGAAACACACACTGATCCCATCACTTGGTTATAGGCCTCATACACCACAGGATATAAATCCCAGTACTGACAGGGTTTCTAATGTCTATTTCTGATTACAAGACTCCAAGACTATTAAGCTGCTTTATCCAGCCCAGCAATCCAAAGAAGAATCTGTGCAAGTCCTGACTACCTGGAATATCAAATGCTGTAAAGAAGGAAAAGGAATTTAAATCTGCTCAACTGACCTATTAGGGTTTATAATTTATTAATTGCTGAAGGAAACTAGCCACCATGAGCAACTAATCAAATAGTGACTATCACAAGGACAAATACTAGTCTTAGCTACCATCTACATGAAAATAAGCATAGCCAGCCTGTCATTGATAACTTTGGTTCTTAGCACTCTCTGCACAACAGTGTTCCATTTGCCAGTTCAATCAGATTTTTAAATAGATTTAATTTCCATGGAAATTGCTTGTTACTTTGACACAACTCTAGCTAGCCTTCAGTGCATGACTGGAGCTGCCTTCCAATGTCTGTATTTTACTGTGGTCAACTCAGAAGGTACTAAAAACATGATGACAACATAAAGCAGCTTTAAATAAGTCTACTTCAGTTATAAGCTTCATGTCACCCAGAGAAATTCCTGGTTGTTACAAGAGGTCCAGAGACTATCCCATCCTGTCCCTCCTCTGGGCAGCTCCACCAGCTAATTCTTCTTGGCATGTATGGGCAATTCTTGCCAAATTACAATGAAGTCTCAAGACAGAAAGGCAAACTTACTGAGACAGTAAAAGTCAATCCATACATTGTAACATGAAATAGAGGAGATGGCTAAGTAAACTGGATTTACGAAATGCACATCTCAAAGAAAAATCCACAGTGCCCATGGGAAACTTCCTATTAATCCTATATATCAGCAGTTGTAACAGCCAAACCATTCTTAAGGGTAGCCCCAGCTGGGTAATACTGCTAACCCAAAGTGCCCTTACAGACATCTAAATACACATCCTGCCCAAAAAACATGGCTAAGTAGAACAACACAAATCAAATGCAGTTCAGTAACATCCTTCAAAGAGACTATCCTACACTCAGCATTTTCTTCAGCAGACAGAACCATAAATGAGGGTCTGATGATGCATTGTACTGTCTACACCCTGAGTGAAGGACTTGAACATACATGTACCAAATGCTACTGTGATGATTCAAAGGAAGCCTTGATGATAAAGGCATATTTATGATAAATCATACCATACAGCTTTCTTTAGGGTTTGCTTTTCTTTTAAAAATATCACTCATTAAACAGAATTATTGATGACAACTAAACCACAAAACAGGATTCTATGACTTTTTGCTACCAGTAGTTAAATTTTTCTCCAGCTACCTCTTGCAATGTTTAAAAAGCTGCATGTTTTAACCCTACTTATGTATCACCTTTTCATAAGCATTCTACATAAAAAGTGTTTCTGAATACAAATTTGAGTTGTCTGTTTGGATGACACTACAGCAAGGTTTGTAACGTTCTGATTTAATTGAAAAGGGATTATTAACCAGACTTATTTTACTCTGTTCCATCAGACTGCTGATGCCTTTTGCCCCTACTTTCCACGTGATTGGGCTTTTTCTCTTCCTTTATAAATTAGTGTGCAACTTATTGGACTCAAAATCCTTCACCTGTATATACAGGATGTGAATGGACATACTGGTACACCAAATGTATTTTGGACTTGTTTGAGGTGGGATGTGACAGGTGGGAGTTTGGTGCTCAACAATCACAGATGGCCTGTCTGTTCTGCCAAGATATTGATAAATCCACTGTGCTATCCAGGCTGTGATATACCCAAAGTTTCTAGCAGGAATTCCTCACAAGATAACCACCAACTGCTCCGTAAGTCTCTGGGCTTTATGCTCACAGATAAATAGAGGTTCTTGAGAGCTCTTCCTTCTTTCTCCCAGTGCAATGCAGAGTTCACTGGCATTTAAGCAGCTCCTTTGATGGAAGAAAAATTCCACTGCAATTAATCACCTATTGCATATATCTATTCTATATCTCTTGCTGTGCCTCTAGTCTCCTTACCTGCAACCTTCAGGATGCCTCTTCCAAACACCTGTTTTGCTGCTGCCTCCTTTCCCATGGTCCATAGGAAGATCTAATACATCTGAGCATGATCAATTTCATCTGGTTTCAGTGATTCCTCATTAGTTTTCCCTATTCTACCTTTTCTCCTGCCTTTTTCCCCAGTTCTACCATTTTAGCAGCATTCCTGATTTTCATTTACCAGCTTTTGCTGTCCAGTGACTCTTGTATCTGTTGGAGTGAGCAAAAAAATGATGCCTTGGCCAGCTATTCCACCTCCACAGTGTGATGGAGGAGAGAAGTGCTCGGTTAATCTCCAGAAGGGTCTCACTCTGCAAGGTAAGCCCTCACTGTTGATTAAAATAAAAAATTATAAGCCTCTTGCAGAGGATCTTGGGTCACTCCCAGCTGCTGCATTAGACTGACCATGCAAGTACAGCAATATTCCATTTCTACAAAGTTTTATCAATGAAGAGTATTAAGAAAAAGCCACCCAAAAAGCCACCATTTAAACAACTAAGCTGACAGAAACACTAACACAGACTATGTTATACCAAGAACAAAATCATTTTAGCAGCACTGTTATTTCTCCCAGGGGACTGCCTCAAGCATCACCAAAAGAGAACTCAGTCATCAAACCATCCTATCCTTCAGCTATACTGTCAATACTTTCCATAAGCAGATTAGTCTTGTGTATTCTGTGCCTTCCCTGAGGAAGAACTTTCTAAGTTCACACATGTTCCATTCTACAAGTAATTTCTTTTTTTAGTTCTCAGTAATTTCCTTGTCATTTGTGAAAAGGAAACCCCTTTTCCACCAACTACATCTAAGCTTCAAAACAATACATTTAGACAAGTTTGCTTAGACATTTTGAAATTCTAGTGTGAAGTCAGAGGTACACTTTTATATATCTGCAAGGCAAGATGAACCTCATGGCAGATGTGTAAGCAAACATGTATTAACTGACATTTTTTAGAAACCATTTTATTCTAGGCTTGAAAGAGCTCAAAAGGTGTGACAACATGCTGGGTTTCTAAGAAGTCAATCACCATCCCTATTCCCTACTGTTTGAATCTGCTAGGTATTATTTCAGGTCTATGATTCTGTATTTGATTTGTAAGTGTGTTCTAACAAAATCAGCATAGAATTTTGTATGAAAATCCCCTGCACATTTAAGCAACAAGAGCAGAGAATTTCAGCAGACATTGTTCTCTATCTGAAAAGTTGTTAATGCATGAATAGCCACAATTTCAGTTTATTTGAGAAACGTGGTGATGACTGTCATGTATTAAACATTAGAATCTGACCTTATATGACCTCTCCCACCTTCAGTTATGTGCTAAGAATTTAATTTTTCTTTGAAAATATAAGAATCATATTTTTTCTATCTTTAAAATGAGAAGAAAACCAGGGATGAAGGAAATTTTTTTTTCATTCTACAGAGATTTGTGACAGTTTTAAAAAACACATTCTCTGAGGAGAACTATTATCTCACAGACACAAAGGCAGAGAAGGATATTAAGAGTTTTCCCCAGAGTCACACATATTTGTCAATCTTTATTCCTCTGCATATTTAACTTAATTGCCACAAATGGTGATTATTACCCACCCTTTTGTTATCAAGAACATAGTTCAAGGAGGAACAGATGGCAACACAACAGACTTTCTTGCCTTTTTATTTTCAGAATGCTATCCCATACATGTCTGAATTCTTCACTCAGTAGTCCAGCAGGCTACAGACTCTTGGTTATTACAGATTTCAGATACTGTGAGCCTTCCACCTTAGTTTCCCAGCTGTTTTACTTCAGCTTTGACCAAAGTCATACATCCTTTCAAACCCTCACACTACTGATCAAACCTCCCCAAGAGAAGCCACCATATGGATTATAGGGATTCCTTTTCAGATAGACCTGGACTCAAGATCACTACATTATTCCATGCTATGGGCCTTGCCCAAACCTAGCAAAAATTCAATTACAAGTCAACACACCACAGTCAACACGCCTCTTCTCTTTCAAAACAAAACTACAATTTTAAGTTCTTCCAGAATCCTGTTCAGTATGTTAATAACACTGGATTATCAATGTTAATGTTCTCCTCCCTTTTTTTTTTGTTTCATTCTAAAGTACTGGGAAAGAAAAAAACATATTTCAGCACATGCCTATCAAGCGTGATATTGAAAAAGCTAATATTCAAATGTTCCATAGGTACAGTCTACCTTATTATGAATTGATTCTACCATCTGTTATCAGTATTAATCATTTTTTCACTATATCTTTATCTCTAAGCAGCAGTAAAGAGTGGGGCTGTATTATGCCATATACTGTGTACAACACCCTGCCCTACAGAGCCTGGCAGACAAACTCTAGCAGAGAAAGAAAACAGACAAGAAAAATCTTACTCTGTCAGCATTAATGAAATTCTATATATGCAAATACTTTGCATATTTGATTCCCACCGCCTCACCAACCTGCATTTTCCACTGACAATAGAATATTATGGTAAATAGACTGAAAAAATCCATTTCCTCTTGTGTGCAAATTGATCCACTTCCTGATGAAAACAACCCAGGTACTGACAATATGAAGTTTTGTTCCAAACATCTTTGGGTAAGACCCTTTGACAGTTTCCAGGCCCAGCTACCAAAGGCTTAACTTACAGTTTTAGAGGACCTACATTAGCTGCAAGGTCTCATGAGGCTTGACACTGACCTTCCTCCTCTTAGCGTGCCAGGACCTGGATCAGATCTTCTCTATTCTGAATGATTCAGCCTAATTAAACAAAACCAAACCCACAGAAGCAGAACAGATGACCAGCATTCCAAAATCAAGGGCCTGAATTACTTACTGGGACTACCTTCTTTTTATTTCATTACTTCATTCAAAAACCCATTTCTTTCCAAACAGCAATAAGAAGCAGCAGTCTCCATTCACTTTCACAGGAGAGCTTTCTGTTGCTCTAAGTGCAGTGCACCAAACTTACAGCATCACTTTGAGGCTGAGAGACCACAACAGGCTGTCCTGAATCACACGTCTCCCTTATATTGATGTGCAGTGGAACATCTCCTGCATCAAAAATACCAAGACACACGCATGTGAAGACAGAGTATTTCTTAAATGTTTCCTTAAAATAACCCTAAAGCAACTTGAAATCCAATTCCTATTCAGTATACTCTTTGAATTGCTTTAGCTCCAAAAATTAGCATTTAAAATGAAAATTGGCTGCAGTATAGTTTTCTTACATCCATAATGAATAAGACCAAACATATTTTGGATTTTTCATTCTCTGAATAGAAAGGAACATGTTTTAGTCATTTATTAGAGAAACAAGGGCTTTTTGCCTCAAACACAGAAAAATACAGACTGAGATACAAATGATTTTATTTATGTGAAATAAATTGCCTGAGTGTTAGGCAACTGTTCATCATGCAACTTGCTGTTTAGCCTATCTCCTCATTGTAAGTTCTTTTCAGTGCTGTTTAAAGATTTTAATCACTGTTCAAAGACTTTTTTGAATACTTAATTTCCAAATAATAGCATTTGTTATTGTCCTTATTAGGCCTTGGACCCAATTAAAAAAGGTGGACAGCTATTCAGTTCACTCTTCTTTCCAACAGAAATCTTCTTTATAGTCTGCTTTTATAATGAGCAGAGAACTGCCAGAGAGGAAAGGAACGTTCTAAAGGAGAATCAATTAGCAGCCCTGTTCCACTCTGAGACATACTTTCTGCAACACAGATTTCACCACAACAAAAAACTTGGAGATTCCTATGTTTACTGCTACATAAATAATTTTGAAGTGAACTGAAGACAAACTTTCATTTACTGGAAGACATAGCTACATTTTACATTATGGATAGATGAAGACAGAACAGCCTACCTTAGTTCAATCCTGACACATCAGAAATCGTGTAAGTTGAATTCATACATTTTAGCAACCTGATTTAACTCAAATCAAGGCCATTGTAAATTACCAAGATTCAATGTATTCAGAAAAAGAAACAGTTAAAAAAACTGTAGGAAAATTGACACATTTTAAGAAATAAAAAAACCCCAAACCAAGTAGGAATAGAAACAAAAACAAACAAATAGTAAACACAAAAGCTGTAGCTCCATGATTAGTATGCTGAATCTTTAAACAACCTTATTATTATTTAGGATAATTACAGTCCATTTCCCTCAATTTTTTTTCTTATTTATTTCAGTCATTAATAAATTTAGGTATAATAGTCTGTTCCTGTATTCATTTTTTTTTAAAAATTCAGGGAGTCCTCTGAAAGTTTTCTAACCATAAACATTCTTAATTGAATAACAGTAATTTGTACATCTCCCTGACATTCACTTCCTACTCTTATTTTATGTAGAGACTAATCTTCTCTTTTTTCCTAAGGATGTTTTGTCAATGAAAAAACACTTCTTCAACAGCAGCTTAATAACAATCTCAAATAATTACAAAATAGCAGCCTCTCTCTTTTCCTCCTCAGACTTACAAACACGTGCTGGTACTACAGGAGCATACAGGACTTGTAAGAACAGAAGTCCAGTCAGAAAATAAAGAAAAATGCATTATAATTTTTTAAAATTTAATTTAAGCAGAAGACATCAAAACCATCTGCATAGCAGTTTGGGTGATAAGGGATTAAGGAAGATAAAACTTTTGCACTATTCTTCACTACCCAATGTGATGGGAACTTCACATAGTAAGTTCTTCTGATATTAACAACTACTGCTGACTGCAAAGAAAGAATAATTTAAATTTACTGTAGGAAGAAAAATCAAAGAATTTTTAAAATCCGTCAGTCACTGCTGACGGTCAGGAACCAGACAGTGTTAAAAAAGTCAGGAATTGCAAAGGTCAGGATGGCACACACAGAAATTATCTCAGCATCATATATACCAATGGCGTAGCTTTCTGGTCACGGTTACAGCCCTCAAACTTCAGGAAAAAATTTCAGAGACAGGGAGAGAAAAATCAGCAGCACAAAGCCTCTCTCACAAACCTTGTCACATATTCCTTTAGAGAACAGTAAAAATACAAGACAATCATAAGTTTAGACAATCAGAAGTATATGAAATAACGGATTTCACTTGAAAGTCTCCTGGCAACTGCTAACTGTCTTATGTCATAAACAAAAAGAAGGTTTCAGTAATATCAATGACAGCCAACTCTGAGCAAGAGGAAGAACGATACTTTTCAATCCTGCACACACTCCTGGCTTGCAGAATTTGTCAGATGTGGGGTGACAAACATCTTATTGCATTTCCAAGAAGGACTAGGTGCTTATCTAGACAAACAGAACAGCCACAGGTATCAGAAAATATAGGCAAAATAAATTTAGAATTACTAATTTTCAATATATGCATTTCACAGATATATATGTAAAAATATGTTCTCAAGATTTTTGGGCAGAATTCAAGTAATACTGAGCTAAAACTTCCATTTGGGATGGATTACCATAAAATCCGTAAGCAGTAATTCTTACAGTGCCATATGGTATTATTATGTAATGGTCATCCCTGGAAGGAGGATGACGAATCAGATCAAGTACTGTAATTCAAAATTTAGCTCTTGGGGCATTATCCTTAATCTTAGTATGGTTTTGCACTGACAGTCTGAAGTTAAACTTCACTCTGCTTTGTTTCGTACATCTCATCTATCCCCTGCTAAATCTGTACATCTCTCACATCACTCCTAATTAAATCCAATCACAATCAGTTCTGCACTCTTAGGAAATAACAAAAACCACCTATGGGACCAATGCCACGGTACATCGTTTGTGCCTGCGTATCTAAATGCATGTTTGATTCAACTGCTTGCAGAGCATTTGCATCCATCCACATAACCCAGGGCTGTAGAAGTCCCCTTGGGCTCTGATCACAACTCATTACATATTCAGGAAACTAAAAGATAGCCCAAAAGCATGTCTTTAATTATGTGTTGCCTTGCTATCTCAAGTCTGTGTCAGACCTTGATGTTTCTGTGTTGATCTTTCTAAGTGAGCTTCCTGGTTCTTTTTAATGAATTAGCTATGGAAAATCATTGAGATAATTAGAGTAATACATGGAAACACATCATTAGCACATGCAATTACCCCATTTACCAACTTAATTACGCTGTGTTATATTCTTTACTTACAGTGCAGGTTGAACCATGCCTTTTTAAATCAGTAAAGTATATTTTAAAGATCCATGTATATTTTATCCTACAGGCATGACAGATAACTTTAATCATAGCTAATCATAGAATGGTTTAAGTTGGAAGGGACCTTAAAAATCATTTAGTTCCAAGCCCCCTTCTGTGGACAGGGACGCCATCAAGTAGAGCAGGTGGCTCAGAGCCCCACTCAACCTGCCCTTGAACATTTTCAGGAATGGAGCACCCATAACTCTGGACAACCTGTGCCAGTCCCTCACAGTAAAGAATTTCTTTATAATATATAACCTAAATCTACCCTCTTTCAGTTTAAAGTAATTCTCCATTGTGCTATCATTGTCTGCCCCTGTAAAAAGCCTCCAGCTTTCTTTTAAGACCCATTTACATACCAGAAAACTCCTACAAGGCCTCCATTGAGTCAATATGTAACAAAATAAATGAGAAAACATTTATTGATATTATTAGACAGAGTTTAGGTCTGTCCTAAGACTAAACAGAATTCTTGGTTATTTGTAAAAATCACTGTATACTCAAGCACATAATGAATTTCAGGTAATATAGCACATTGATATCAAAACAATTCATGTTCTGGATTGTTTGTAAATACAAAGATTTAAGATGCAATTGAAGAATTTTCATATGCAGTCAACATCACCATGACAAGACTGACAAGGAACAGAGCATATTACTTATTAGTTCCATAATATCTGAAAACAGTCTGAATCCAAAGCAACCTAGGATTATGCAGTTTCATCGTTCAGTTAGTGCTTCATGCACACCATTAGATTTTTCTTCAAAAATAAAACCATTTCCATATTCTTACCTAAAATATCCAATCCAAGGGTTTTTGCCAGATCTTTTATGCCATCAGTTCCAAAAATATGTGTCTCATGCTTACATTTGGGACATTGGAAAACACTCATATTTTGAACCAGTCCTAAAACCTGTCCAAGGAAAGGAAAGGAAAGATTGCTCAAACAAAGCACTGGTATTTCCATATTAATCTCTGATAATGTAGAATAGATTATCCACTAAGAACCAACACAAAGTGTTTTTTTTAAATAGGAATCAGGCTCATAAAATCATTATCCACTCTTACTAGTCATCTCAGTGGCACCATCATCTGTGCATTATTCAACTTTTTCACATTTATACCTCTTGAAGACTACCAGCCTTATTTGTAACAAAAAGTACTTCTTGCCCAAACCTAACTTGTCAAGAACTCTCCTTGCCAGTATTTCGTTTTCAAACTCTGAATATTGGAAGAATTTTCATGCTGTGATTTACAGTTTTGTTCTTTGCAGTTTCAGGAAAGAGAAAATAAAAACATGCCACTACAAGAAATTACACAATCGGACATGCTTTTAAGGTTTTTTATAAGTTATCCTGTAGGGAAATCTTTTCAAAAAGAATGAGATTTGTTATTCTTCTGCAGTGCATAAACACATTTTCAAGATCAAACAATAGAAATAATTATGTGAAACTAAGTGGCAAAAGCCATAGCATAAAAATCTAATGGACACATCCTGAATACCCTTCCATTGATGCCAGGTGTTCAACATCACCCTTATAAAATATGTCAAAAATTTGCCAAGCCATTCACACAAAAAAATCTCCCTTCACAATGTGAAATACTGCTAATAATCTCATTTTATTCACAGAGTAAACAAAACTCTACATCGACGGAGAGCAAAATTTCCAGAAGTGATGAAAGCAGTGTTCAAATGCTCCAGGGTGGAAGTTTCTATCCACCTGCTAAGGAACAGAACATCTGCTTTAAGAGATGCAATGTTACAACATTTCACTTTCAGATTTATGTATTACCTAGACATGTCACATACACTATAGCTGAGTTTTAGAATACACCGTTTATATTGCTATTTACTTTGTAGCATTTTGTACTTCTCCATTTTCCTGAACCTTCTAGTTTTGTGCTTGAACAAGGTGGTTTCTAGTTATTAGAGAAGAAACATATCCACTATGCTAATGAAGCATTATCTAGGAGGAAACAGAAGTGTTCAGTGTGACCAACATACAGATTTAATTAAAAGTGAATGTACAACCTCTGGCACTGAAAATAAAAAAGTATGCTATTTACAATATAATACTAAAAGTTTCCTTAGCTATAAGTTGAAATTCATCAAAAGATGGTCACCTGTTTTTTCTATACCACCATAAAGTATATTTGCTACATCTTCCTTTACTAAAGTAAAACTCTCAGATGGTTTAAAGTAAGGAACATTTTAAGAAATAATGTGTTTTAAAAAAATTTACCTACTTCCAATTTAACATCTCAAACTGACTTTCCTCCTTTTCTACTCTCTCCCAGGGACTGTCAAAGAAGCAAGTGGAGTAAGATTTTATTTACTGGCACATTATTACAGGTAATTTTATCATCCAGTTCTTACATTAGTAGAGACATAAAATACTACACAACCAGGGATATAAGGTGCAGGGACAGTAAAAAGGGACCTGTACAGCCACAGCCTTCTGTGGATGATCTCTAAGCAGGCATTCATTCTGCTCTCCCCTAAAGTCAAGTCATGGAGGTTTTACTCTGTTGGTAAACTGAAGAAAACAGAAAGGTGTATTTTTGACAAAAGAAAAATGTTATTTTCACCAGGATATATGGGGGCCATTTTTGAAAGTACATGGGGAAAAAAAAAAGTAATTTGAAATTTACACTTTAATTCATTTTCAGGTATCTTGGGGTTTGAACTTTCTGTTCTCTTCAAAGTACTCATACAACATTTATGATTCAGCAAATTTATCAAAGAAAAATGTATGTAGTCTACTACTGTTTTGTGAATAGTTAAGCATTATTACAGCTGTTTTGTTCATATTTGCATAACCTAGTAACTAAGTCCTTCAGCCAATACAAAAGCAAATGCCAAGATACAGCTGTATCTCCAATGCCAGACCAGTTTTAGAGGTCTTATACACTGTCCTTTTGTTTCCATTTAAACAAGCCTTACCAAGAGGAAATGACATTTCAGCATTATACAGTAATTTTAATTTTTACATGTTGGTCCTGTTTGTCAGCCAATAAATAATGCATATTTAATAACATATAATTTATTCTTCTGGAATATAAAGATACCCATTAAAAATACTAAGTATAATATAGAATATTTGCAAATACACAGCTTTACTGCTGAAGTGTATTTTTACCATGCATTATTTCTGCACATATATTTACAGAAGGGAGCTCCTTATGACCTTCAGAGCTTTTAAATCTAAAAAGTAATAGGTCTGGCTAATGAAGTCAGTAATAACCCTCATTTTCCTGCTCAAATAGACTTGTAATAGCTTCAAAGCAGCTGTTACTGTCTACACTAACTATTTCGTAAGTGTGGGTGAATTCTATTCTAGTTCTTGTTGAGCTTGGCAAACTTGGCTCAGGAATGACATGAAAACTTGGATGCACACAATACAGGAGCTAACCTATGGTAGCAGCATGGAGCTGCATTCCATTTAGTCTAATTGTTATTTTAAATGGCAAAGAGGCATCTGGCAAGAAATAACAGGAAATGAAGAACCCTTTCATTAGGAGTTATCTGCACACAGTTTCTGAATGTTTACATACTTCTTGTGCTCAGTTAACCTTTTGGATACACAATAAATCACACTTAAATCCAAATATACAACCTTCTAAGTTAAAGAAAATACGGGGATGAAATGAAAGCTCTCTGTATTTACATTAGGAGACAATTCCTGAGAAACCCACTGCAGTCATTCACTGTACTTAAGGATGGATGGTGCTGAGGTCTTATTGCAGTCTGATGGGAACTGAAGTGACCAGGGTTACATTTCCTCTGCCATCAACTTCCTGTGTCAGTCACTTGGCATTGAAGTGCTTCAAGTGAACATGCACAATATTTTCATCTTCCTAGCTTTCATCCTGTAATGAGCTAATTTCTGTCTCTAATATCTGCTCCCATCATGAAGCCATAATAGTGGCTGGTTACTCTGGATGCTTCAGAAATACCAGTAAGAACATAGCAAAGTAAGCCATTTCAGTACACTTCAGAAGGAAATACATAGCTGGGTCTACCTAAGCAGTTTTTTGAAACCTGCAAAATCCATGGCATAACCTTCCAGTTCAAGGAAACTTGCAGAAAAATTGCAGATTTAACTAAAACCCTGTCTTTTCTTTCAGGGATATGATTGATAACAAACAATAATGAACTGAACTCAGCATCAGCAGGTGAAAATAGACAGTTTTTCTCCTAAATACTCAAAATTATTCATTTTGAGTCACCCTTAGGAACGCAAGGAAACACTGGCCAAACTCACATAAGAGACAAGAGTCTAGACACTTGTGATAGGAGTCAGCAACACTTTGCAAATTCCTTCTTCACTGCAAGTGTAGGTGTGCTCCACTGCATGAGAGATGCCACTTCTCTTTTAGCAAATGTGTCCTAAAACTGAAAATATTAATTTTGCCCTGTAAACCTGGTTTTAATGCTGACTCTCCTTGCCAGATTTTCATTAGCTCCTTCAGTCATTCTACTTCAAGTTCAATAAGGTACAAACAATATTAACAACCGTGACTTTGCTGTGGTAATACTACATGTGTCATCTGAGTCTTCAATAACTAATAACAGTGGCTGTGAGGGGAAGGTGGAATGTATAAGCCTGTATGTACGTGGGAGAGACCACAGTTCATTAAATACAGAAATGCATACTCAGAGTTGAGCAACCTACAGCCTCTCTGCTTCTTTGAAAAGTCAGCTCTTTGCAAGCACCTTCTGAAAGATGAAAGATTTTAGAGATTAGAAATTTGAAGATCAGCTAATTATGTAATCAGGATATGTAATTTTAGCACAGAACTGCAGATTCCACCTCTTTGACATAAACCTCAGGTCTGAAGTTGTCCATGAAAAATTATGTCACGTCACTTTCTCTAGATTCTCATATTTAGTGGACATTTAGAAATGTAGTACAAAGCTGCCTAAGACTCAACCAACTGACATATTTGTACGTGTGTACATGTGGACAGAATAAAATGAAGCAGGGTAAAATAAAGTAAAGCAGGGTAATGAAAAAGGTAATGCCTGATAACTGGTTCAAGCACATTCAAACCCAACATGTGGTGTAACAGCTTTATTGTGACTTCTCACTTGATTTGACAAGATCTGATAATTCCAATGAACCAAAACACATCGTACTGAGTACCTTATCTTCCACTAGTCAAATCAGTACTAGCCAAGCCCATCCTATGAATGCACACTTTTCCTGGAGGCCATTCTCTTCAAAGGACACCGAATCAAACAGTTTTGGAAAGAAATCTTGGTAATTTCTCATTAAAACAAAAGGAAAATTCAGTGAAGCACTAACTTGAACACAATTTAAATTGAAGAAAACCATTTTACATCATTTGAGCAAACCCAAACAAAATCAAAACAAAATGTTCTCTGTGTTATTCCTCTTGTTTTCCTTCTGGCAGCAAATTATAAATGTCACAATGATTTCATTTTGATGCAAATATGCTTAAAGAATAGTTAATAATAAGGAATTCATCAAAGTATTTCTTTTGTTAAGACATCCTGTAAATTAAAAAAGGGAAAGCATTCACTTCAACTTTCTGTTGCATTTTTTTAATTAGCTATGAAAAAAAACCTCCTTTCTTCAGAAAGAGTAGAAGTGACCTTCACACAAGTAAACAAGAAAACATTTTTTTCTTACAGCTTATGATAACGAAGAATTTCAAATCATATTCTTTCATCAACTGCCCATTTCAAAGTAAAAATGAATCTCTATGTAAACATATTCTAGGGTACTACATTCAGTTACTTAGCAACTTGTAGCACCCAGAGAAAATATCAAGTCAAGGATGTTAGCCTGTTTAATATTTTCTCCTAATTGTGGATATTCTTTAATTTCTCATTTCTCAAACAAGTAAGCTAAGATGTAAGCTACAAACCTCATGAGAAACAATGACTGGATAGCCTTCAACTTGTCACAATAGTTACAGAGACCTTCAAATTGTAAAGTGACTAGATATAAGCATATTTCCACAAAAATTTGAATTTGCCTCTTAAAAATACCAAAAAATTATTTTTCTACATTTCATGAAATTTGAAGCTCTAACAGAGACAGTGCTGAAGAGGACATGTAATGAGGACACACAGTATAACTGAAAGGCATGCATTATTTCCTAAGATATTCTGTTCAGCAATCTGATCCATTCCACATGATTAAACAAACAGATTTAAAACAAATCATTTACTATTATAGCTTCAGCCTGAGAAAATTCCCTCCTTTCTGTCTAACAGATTAAGATGGATTCTAAGCCTTTTAACAAGAATTTATTAAATTCAAGTGATTGCTGAATGTTCACCTACTGCTGCATATGGAATTTTTTTTTTTACATTTTGGAAAAAGAAAATTCAACTGGTATTTTTCATGCAGAGACTTACAGGTACATGGACTTTTCTAAACATTTCAGCTCCTTTGTGGGCATCCAATAAAGCCACGTCTTGTGGAGTGGAGACAATCACAGCTCCTGGGGAAAAAAACCATGAAATCCCATTAAAATATATATTATTAATTATTCTGCTAAATATTTTAAATATTTAGTACATGCTACTAAATTCACAGTAGTCACACGATTATATGCTTTTAAGGAAGGAAATTATGCCAGCTTTTATTATAATGATCAAAATAACTGAGATATGATATGAAGTGAAAAAAAATGTTAGATACTTTCATCTTAAGTTTTTCTATGCAGAAACCATTTATACTTTCTAAATGAGAAAAATTATCTAGTATCACGGAACCATCCACATGCTGACAGATTGCAGAGGTGGTACTCTGGGAATATCTACACAGTAACAACCCCATGCCATAATTAGATTTGAAAGTTTTTAATTTAACAATAAGCCATGTTCTAAAACCAGCAGACAGCTGCTTGTAATCAGACTGGTTTTTTCCACACCTGCTACACTTTCTTGAACCAAGTCAAACTAGACACCAGTGTGTATAAATGTATCAATGATACCACAAAGGAAGAGGCAAACTGGTACACACTTGCACTAGGTTTGAATAAAGTGTTCAGAGATGTTCAGAGATGGTTCCAGGTTACCTGATAATTTGTACTCCTCAGAGTTATTAAGCATACAAAACAGTCAGAGCTCCTTGTCTAAGTTAGATTGTAAAGTAAAGTAAGCCTACAGGTTACTATCCCATACCGTTATTACTTCTTGATTAACACAGCATGAAAAACCAACACACACATCAGAATATTCTACATCACTTCACAAAGAGCATCTTGTTCCAAATGCTCAGGGGTTTCAAATGTTATTTCCTCAAAACATGCAACAAAGAACTTCATGATTGTCCCTATTTTATAAAAATGTAATGAACAAGAGAGCATTACTCGTCAATTGATTAGCTTTGGTTTCATATTGACCATCTAGTGTCAGAAGTCTCTATTACAAGGATTTCTGTAGAGTCACATTATGCCAACCACGCACAAGAAATTTATGTCAAACTTCACACTAATAGCAATTAAAACAGAGAATTCTAGATGCTTGGGACAGCTTCCTACTGGGCCTGCAGCTCCCAATCCTCTGTGTACATGGCAAAGGAAGAGGTGGGTAGATTTCCAGAGGCATGCAACCCTGGCATCGCAGGCAGGGACCAGAGCAGCAGAACCGTGGCATTCGGAGAGCACTCCTGGCTCTGGCAGCACTGGGACAGGGAGCCCTGGCCCTACACCATCCTCCTGCTGCCGGGTGGGATCCTGCCTGCTGACAGCCAGCCGTTTCCAAACACCGCCTGACAGCGTGTTTGAATGTTTTCAGCCAGCATTCTTAACCTCTAATTTGTGAAAGAAAAATACAATCTGGCACCTCACTCCTGAAAAGCTGCCAATCTCTGCCTTACACAGTATTATACACAAGTCCAAAAACTGAATGGCACATGTAATGTACCGAACAAATGCAATTTTCCCTATTTGCTCAAACCTTGACATCCAAATAATTTGCTAATATTCCCAAACCAACCTGTCTCCACTGGCATCACAAAGAATAATGTGTAAGTTTTTCAGTTACACTGAAATCACCTTAGCTCCTCATTTCACCAAACACAGGGTTACTTTACAAGCAGCACTGAAATGTAGGGTCAATTCCACAAAATGAATGCACCTTTCCCTAAAAGCACAGGCTACAAGTAAATAATTTAGACTCCGTGTCCTTGAGATTTTTGCATATTTGTAAAACAAAAATCTTTCAGTACTTGAAAAAAATGCTTATTACTGTTTTCTTTCCAAGCAAAATTGGAAATATGTGTCTTGTGTGTATACGCACTTTTATTCACAATCTTCTCTGAAGATGCTGGCTTAGCATCTTGGATCTTCGTACAGAACCTAATATGCAGTCAACAAGAATGAAGTCTACATTTTGTGCTTCATTATTGTTTTAAGAACCTAATAATTGGCATGGCATGAAGGACAGACTATGCACAACAAAAATACGCACTAGAACCACAAGCAGCTTAACAGAGAGATATTTTTTACTAACAAATTCTCATCCAAAGGGAAAAAAACCAAAAATGCCAAAATGACCCAATGGCACATTACAGAGTTTGGGCTGCCACAAGCACCAACTGTCTGTACAAAAAACCTCTGGCTTCTGAAATACATGAATTAAAATTACGCTTGTGGACAACTTCCATGGCTTCTTCCATAGAATGAAAGCCAACATGCTCAAGAAGCTGCTGTTGAGGGTTAGTTGTTTCTCTCTTATTTTTCTTTTTATTCTGAGATAATTACAGGCAAAATTGATTCACAGACAGCTTCTACTGACTTACACCAACACCCTATAAAACAACTATCTTCTCTCTTTCTTTGGTACATCTGCTAGTCCAACAAATCCAACCTGAAGTTCAAGAATTCAAATTATTTGCAGCATTATTTCCTTTACTAGCAACCAAATATGGCAAATGAGACTTTTCACAGTGCTCCCCTCCCTGAATAAGTTTGCATATGTTTAATTTAGAAAATTATTCAAATTATAACCAAGAAAGGACACAGCCTACACTTTCCTTGCTATCTTGACTCTACACAATTAGCGGGAATATCTAACAGTAAAGAGTTATTCTGATCAATAAAGTAACAAAATATGATGGAATTTATGCACACAGTATGTCTCTTGAAGCAATACGTGCAATGCTTACAAAAGCGTCTGAATGAGACAAACTGAGGCTGCCAAATTGAATGGAGAAGCTGCAGAAACTATAATCTAATCACATCACACACTGAAACATACTAAAAATTCTGTGTTTGCAGTTGTGTGCAGAAAAATAAATTTTGTGCCTCAAGCATACTAAGGATATCTAAGTAGAGCACATTTATGTTTAACTGACTTATCTACTTATTCGAGCATTCCATTTTTTTAAAATTTCAATGTATTTCCTTTGACAAAAGTCTGATGCATGTTCATCAAATCACACAGAATCTGTGAATGGGTCAGGCTGGAAGGCACCACCGCAGATCACCTAGTCCAATCTCCCTGCTCAAGCAGGGTCTCTTAGAATAAGTTATTAAGGATTCTGTCCAGATGACTGTTCAGGACTTTCTGCAATGGAGGTTCCACAACCTCTCTGGGCAGCCTGTTCCAGGGTTTAATCACCTGCACATTCAAGAAGTTCCTATTTATGTTCAGGTGGAATTTCCTGTACATCAGTTTCTGCCCACTCCCTCTCTTCCTACTGCTCAGTACCAGCAAGAGTCCAGATCCTTCTTGATACTGTCCCTTCAGATATCTATACACATTGATAAGGTCCCCTCTCAGTCTTCTCCACACTAAAGCCCCTTGTCCCTCCTAAGTGACATGCTGCCATCCCCTAGTCTTTGCCCTTTGCTGGTCTACGTACAGGTGATCCATGACTCTTTTGTACTGAAGGATCCAGAACTGTACTCAGCACTCCAGAGGAGACTGTATTATTAAAAACTATGTTAATTGTATTTTTAATCCTTAGGATACATTAGAGACAGAACTAACAATACCCTGTTACACTGATGTTTGCCTTTCAGTTTCAACCCCAGGTCCTCAGTAAAAGAAAGATGTGCCTACACAGCACACACTGGTACCCTTCTGGTGGACTGGTGCTCAGCAAATTACAAGCACTCAAACAGCCTATGATTTCAGGATATAGAAGATATAATCTATATTCACTGCACATTAAGGCTTACATTAGATGCTTGCAGTCACAAAGCATAAGGTGAAATCTCACCAAACCTTAGCTATAGTCAATTTGTACCCAGGCCAAAAACAGGGAGCTCTAAAAAGCAGCTCATCAGCAACAGTGTAGAAGGTCTACCTTAGGTTGAAAACGATGCCCCTAATACATTCTTTTTCCCCTCCAGTGTCTTCACAGACAGATTTCAGAATCAGACTACGTGTCTCTCATCCAAGATTAAGGATTCCATAACACACATCTTGTATCAGCCTCTTAGCAAACAGTGCCACCTCAAAAGCTGTGAAGTGTAACTGACCGGAGACTGACACAGTTCTGGAGGACTGAATAATCGTATCTGCTGACTGACAGCCACTGAACACTCTTGGCAAGGAACCACATTCAGGCCTCAGTAAAGCTGTAGATGGCCTGATCTGACCACACCACTCATGCACTTCTTGTAGTTTTTGCTACCTTTTCCACTGCATTAAATTCAAACTTTTAGATGACATCTTCCAGTCATAAACAGCCTGGTTAACCTGACTCTTCTCTACCGTGGGATCTCTTCAGAGACCCTCTGACCTTCTGTTAAATTTGTCCCTTCATAGATAAAATTTGCCTGCAATTACAGATACATCTTTGCACTTAAAGATGCAGGAAAAAATCTTGCAAGAACAAAGACTTCTATCTTTGCTGTAATTTCAACTGGCAACAATTAGAGATAAACTAACATTAGAAAATGGTTCATCTTCTAGGATAAACCTTATAAAGAAGTTCCTTTAGCTTTTGTGCGTTGCATTTTATTACAAACAGCAACTTAAAAGAGCCACAAGTGTGATTTTCCATTACAGGATCCTCACTTCAACCTCATAATATAGCTCAGAACTGTCCAAAGGCTAGATCCTGGCTGCATCACACCTCCAGCCTGCTTGCTACCTTCTTGGAGGAGTCATTGAACAACTGCTGTTCAGACAGGGGATGTTTCCAACAGCCACACATCCTCTTCTGCCCAAGAACTAAGCAAGTAATAAAAGATCAGGACATTACCAAATTGCCCACATGAAATCTCACATCAATATTCTTCCTCCTGCTCTATGGAACTGTCAGCTGGATAAAACTGTCACCCTAAAGCTAAACTGCCCCCATCTATACTCATCAGTAAGTATTATATCATCCATTTCACACCAGGTCACATGGGGAAAGGTGTGGAAAGACAACTCTCACTGTGGTAAAATGTTTGGTTTGGTCATGGCAAACTGAACACGTGTCACACTAACGCAATTTACAATTAAGTATTTATTTAGTGAAGTGAAAACACTGAAAATA